GGCCGCCTGGCAGCGGCTCCTCATCGTGAGCGCCGGCACCGCCCGGCCGCCCTGCGCCGCTCCGTGTTCTGAACGGTCACGGATAACGGGACCGGGAAAGGGCGGAACGGAAACCGGCAGGAAGGACGGACGGACAATAAAAATCCCAGTACAGAAGCCTGCAGGGCCACCACCGCGGCTCCGGCGCCCGAAGCTCCGCTTGCCCCTAGCGAGGAGCGATGTTGGATGGTGGTGGCACGGCCCCGGCCTTTTCCCACTCCGCCCTTGTAACAGAAACAGAAGTACTTCTTATTAAATGCTCTTTATTTTTTATCTACATCCAATTATTGCATAAAGATCACGTATCTTTTTAAATAGAATAAAGCTATCAGGTGGGTAAACCTCATCGCCCCCCCTCCTCACACCCCACCGAGGAAAAGACAAACCAACAGGTGCTTCTGGTCTTCAGGGAACACACGATATCTCTGGTTTGCACAGCAGAACTGGCTGATGTGGTGTTTGTTACTGGTTTACAGTATCACACGTGTACAAACCTTTCGGAAAGCTTTCTAAAGGGCAAGTGTGCAGCAAATCTCTGGACTTTTGCATCCCCAGCCGTTTGCTGAAACATTTTACTGTGCTCAAGTTAATACAAATCCTGTTTTGCATGAGCTTTGTGTTAAAGCCATGCTGGACTTTCATGAAGTTTTAAAGACCCAGTTCTAGGTCTTCCAGTTCCTGAAGGAGAGCAGTTTCTTTCTGAATCTTCTCCAACTAGAACAAAAAAGCACAAAATGTCACAGACGTAGCTTATTATAAAATGAAACTTGAATAAAACTGCATACAACTTAACAGTACCTGATTCTTCTCCAGCTGTTTGCCAGCAGCTGCTTGTTCTTTCAGCTGCTCAATTGCCTTTAGTTTCTGTAAAAACAAACCAAAACAAAAAACCCACACTAAGACAAAAATATTGGTGAACCAAGAATAGAAAAATAAATAAAATCAGTCTTGCACTTGCAATTGCCCAATTTACCAGCAGGAAGGCTCAATATGGAAGGCACATTTCATTTGACATTTCCAGATACTCAATCCGGAATTCTCCACCAATAAAAGACATTTCTTTTAAGAACAACAACTGGAGAACAGCACTGCTTCTTAGTGTCCGAAACGTAAACACCATGCATTATCTCACTGCAGGGCTAGATCCAAACTCAGAAATCACTCCTCGGCTATCACCACCTCTCTTCACCACACATTCTCCTCCGAAAGCCTGGAATATTAATCTAAACAGAGGACCAGGAAAAGCAGGAGGCAGCCAAGAGAAAAAAGCCCTGATGGATTACACAGAAAGTGGAAGGATTCTCTATCTAGAAGCAAACAACTTCCATTCTGAAATTATTTAATTCAAGAATTTCCAAGACTGGCAGTAAACTTCGCACTCGTACCATTTCAAAGTTAAGGAAGAAAGCGAAACCACATGGCATGGTTCCCTTCTCAGATCCACGATCCAATAAACACGAAGCCCACGGTGCTGCTTTCGAAGCACAAACACCCCTAAGCTGTACCCCCACTCCTCAGATGTGAGGACTGGGTGCACGTGCAACAGCATTCCTAATAGGAAACTGGAATACTCTTCCAGGCACCTGTCAGTGGCTTCTGCCTCATCTAGATGCTGCTCTGACAAGATCTGCAGGAGTCCTGGCAAGTGATGGCCACTACTGTTTTACAAGATGGAAAAGCGAAGGAAGTTGGTTTACAAATTGAGGAAGTTACCATCTATGTAGATGCCACCCTGCTGGGCTCTAGTCACTTCACCATCAGACCAGATCTTACAGAGCATCTCTTGGAGAAATCTGCTGTTCGTTAGAAAAAAACGCCCTCACCTTTTTCAAATTCTTTATCTTCTTGTCAACTTCAGGATCTCCTGATGTCACGGCAGGCACAGAACTCCGTGGTGCATTCTGTGATGCTGAGGACTGGGATTCCTGGTTTGCATCAGCTTTGGCCTCCTGTAAATAAACAAAATAAACATATTATCTGGAAAATACGTTTTTTTACAAAGGGACTGCAAATGTCTTCAATAATTTCAAAGGATCCATTTAATATTTCTTCTTTCACTAGTTGGCTGGTGTTCTCCAAAATTTGTACGTGACTTGCTTTGATGTGTTTTCAAAAATAGAGTTAACTATAACAACTCACATGCTGTTTCTTGTTTAATTTCTACTTCCTCAAGACATCAAACACACACAGCATAGGGAAACATCGGTAAGGATGGCAGGATAAACACATACACAAATATTTTATAAAGCAGACTGGAGGGTCATTGTCTCTGAAGTAAAAGACGTGACTCAAAACCAGTGTAAGAAATTAAAAAAATATTTTTAAAGAAATTACTGCTTCAGAAGTTAGTAGAAGCTGGAAGGTTAACACCAAAAGCTGATTTTTTTTCTACCTAGCCAAGACTAGCAAGCAAAGAGGTGACCCAGAACACACCGTCTTTGGTCTGCCCTGCTAGCAGACCTCAGCCCTGACCTGCTCAGGGCACACATGAAGCAGTGAGCCCACCCTTAGCTCCCACCCAAACTGGAACAAGCTGTGCAGACTGTCTGCAGGTGAACGGGCAGCATTACGTGGTCTTGACACCGATTTCAGCTCACGCTCACAGCAACTAAGCAAGGCTGTGATTTTAAGGTCAACCTTTGGCACCCGCTTCAGCCGGACGGAAACGCCGGCCGCCCTGCCCGCCGCCCCGCCACGGCTTGGGCTCCCCGAGCACCCACCAGCCGCTGCTCGGGCTCGGCGGGGCCGGTGGGGAAAACTAGTTACCGTCCCCCTCGAGAGCCGCCTCTGCAGTACCTGCTTAGCAGCCTTTTTCGCTTCGTGTTTCCTTTGGTTTTTGAGAGCGGTTTTAGAGAGCGGCTTGTCGCTGCTTCCCGACGGCGCTTTCATATTCTGCGGCGGCTCGTCCTCGTGCTGCGGGATACGCAAAGGTGACAGTTACGAAATCTGTATTCCATGCTGGCAAGCGTGTTGGTAAAAAAACCCGGCACTGAACCCCCAAACCTACTCAACACCATATGCAAAGATGAATTGTAAGGAAAGAAGGAAAAACAAACAAAGGAAAAAAAACAACTATGTGCCTTTTCTCTTTCGAGTAGCAGACAACAGTGTGAAAAGGGTTTCAAACCCATCCATTCTCTAGTTTGGATGGCACTATCCTATATGTCCTAAATATTTCATGGACTTCTGGTAAAATAACAAAATCATTATGTTTTCTATCTCGGGGGCAGAAATAAAATCAGAGAGGAATTAAACAGCAAAAAACGATCGAGGCTTGGCATTTTGCTTTTGTGGGCAACTTTAAAATTCAAACTCCTAGTGAGAAGAAAGGAAAAATGGGTTGCTGGGATGGGAGATGGGGTGTGGTTTTTTGGGGTAGTGGGGGGTGTTAGATGGGAGGTGAAAAGGGGGTATTGTTTGGTCTTTCGGTTTTTTAAGATAACTTTAATCAAGGAGCTGGACTGTTTTAACACATGTGACGATTTCGTGGCCATTGAAGTAAACAGAATTATATTATTTAATTTAACGCATCTTTTCTCTACTACCTCTGCTTGTTGATCATTTGTGCAATCAGACATTAGTAGGATTAATAGATTGCTGCTCAGCTTGTGAGTAATCTTCCTTCAAAAGCACCAGGCTCAAAATCAAAGCTCTCTAAGACTTAAACATCAAGGGTGCAATTGTTAAATGTGATCAGTTGCTACTTAGCCTGCTTTGAAACCTTGCAGAAAAGAAACTAATCAGGTCACTGTACTGAAACCTGTTTAATCTGCAGCCAGCTTGGTAACAATCAAATCTCTCTCTAGCAAGTAAATTTATTAAAAAAAAAAAAAAGCTGTTGGGAGGACAGTCAAAACCAGCTGCCTAGCTGGGTTTAGACTGGCAATCAGGTCACTCAAATCAGAAGCTTCTACCTTAACCCAACTACCCAATTTCATCGTAAATCCAATTTGCAGTTTATTATTCCAGTGCATGTCGTGCAGAGCGGTTTTTAAGTTTGCAAATGACTTTGTAGAAGTAGAGTACTTGCACCACAGAAATTCCAGTTTTCTAGCATACCTTCTTGCACAGTGAGCAAAGTGTCAAGGAGGATTTTCAAGGAAGCCTCTCAAAACCCCACAACACTACTGCCAGTCTGATTACTGTTCTATTGTCTCTCGTTAGATATAGATGGGCACAGCAATGAACTAGAACAATTTATTTCCTGTATGAAACTGTCCACTTACGAGCTTGGAACTTGTCACGGGTTTGTTTCTCAGGGCTGGAGGTCTGTACGCTTGAGCAGGCTTCGGCTCGGCACTGGGCAATTCGCTTGGAACCGCCTGGTATTTCACGGCTTTCGCTGGGAACACTCCATCCATGAAGGGCTGCCAGGAAACCTGCCACATTTCTTCACTGGATGGAACCTCGTAGTTGTGTAACAGAGAGCCAGTGTAGTGCCATATCTTGTAACCATTACTAACTCGTAGCCTGGGAGCACACGTAGCGGTTACGATGTGCTCCCCGTCAGGACACCAAGCAAAGTACGTGGAATCCGAGGCTACTGGTTTGGAAATGAGTTTGTAGTTTTTAACGTCCCACACTTCCATCTGTCCCCTGAGATTTCCAAACCCTGCTAGCACCAGGATGTGTCCATGGGGGCTGTAGTAGGCAGCATTGCGAGGACCGGTTCCAAAATCAAACACAGGGTCACATTTCAGGTTAAAAACTGTTGCTTTGGCAGGCATAAAACCATACACTGCACAAAACTCAAGAGAATTGGGGCTCCAAACAACATCATAAATAGGACCGTTTTTTGCTAAAGGAAAAGGAAAATATGCAGCTGCTGTTAGGAGACTATTTTTTCAGCGCAAGCAAAACCAAAATCAACAGAGATTCTTAACTTCCTGCTTTGCTAAAATGCTGTGATCTAATTATTGACAGTGAAAATGAATTCTGCTAACAACATTCTATCTTCCGACAAGTTTTAGTTAAAGTTTGCAACAATAACTGCAGCCGTTCCAAATTACCTCTGTAGGGTCAGAATCAGCACTTTAACAGTAAGCATTTTTTCTCATGTAAAAAAAATTCCTTTTTCCCCCCCCCCTCGTTATTCAAGTATGATCTCTCAGGATCTTCTCAAACTGTCCCACTGGAAACCTGCAAAAACAGGAGCTTTATACCAGCTGGATACCAGTTCCTCTTTTTAAAATGTAAGAAATATTGCACAGCTCAGCTTTGTGAAGCTAAGAAATATTGATCTAAATTATCTTTGGACAGTGCTCACACCTGGTATTTCGTAAGACAGATTTTGAAGTGAGAGAGCACACAAAAAATGGTTTTACACATAATGATTAAAACAATATTGTTACAAGTTATTCTGTGGGTTAGAACATTAGGAGATACTGAAGAACGATGAATCATTGGTGGAAACGCATGTGAAATGTATAGGGGTACACAAAGAGGTCGTTATAGCTTCTCACAAAGCGACTGTCTTTACCTGTATTTCAGATAAACGCTAAGTGCGCTACTGGCAATTCTTAAATCCATATGTTGACCCAAAACATCAAACTGATTTAAACTGTCCGTTCCTGCTGCTATTCTCAGACACCCTCACCTTCAGAAGCTAGGCTGTGCCACCCCACTGTGGGTGTTCCCCTTCAGAGCTCTTCGGGTGGCACTGGCCAAACACAACCGCAGAGACAGGGTCTGACAGAAAAGCACGTCTCTGCGTGCTCGTGACAGTGGCAGCTGGAGCGACGAGGGGAGCTTTGTGTGGGCTCCCAGGGCTGAGGCACAGGCTGCAGCACGAGCGGGTATCAGTCAAACCCAAAAACCCCCGACAAATGCTAGTGTGAAAAAGGCTTAAAAACTGGACCTCAAAAATAGCCAGCAGATACAAATCCAGAGGAAATGAGGCACCACTCCAAGTGCCCACCATTTGCTTTTGTTGGAAAAAAGTTTTACGATACAGACATCAATTTCGTTTTTTCCTTGAAAAGGAACAGCTAAATTAAATGAAAATTAATGATGAACTTGTTGAATAAAGATGCATTGAAAATAAACAACTTCAAAGAGCAAAGGAGGTTTCCATAAGCATGTAACTAAACAACTAGTGTTCTCCACCCAGGAAACTGCTCCCAGAGACATTCTAGATCCTGAGTTATCATCCCAACAGTTGTTCCCCAGTGAAGTTCACAGCAAAGGGAAATGGGGCACAGTACTTGCCACCACAAATTTTGCTGCAGCAGGCAAACTGGAGACGTTCTCCCAGTCAGCAGTAGCATTGCAGAGAAGATATTCGCAACGCCTCTGCTCAAGCACAGGTGACCTACGTGCCCCCTCCCCGGCGTTTCCAGACACTCACACCAAACCAGCCTCTGTAGTGCCAAGCAAGAGGGGTGAGTAACAAACAGCAACGACTCCAGACCATGAAAAAATACCACCATGGGGAAATTAATAAACGGACTTCTAGTTCAAACACGACACTGAAATTAAGAGCATCCACTTGCTTCTCCCCAACATGTCGTTTCTGTGTCTTAGAACGCTTTCCATTTTACAACACAAAATAAAGGACTGCTGTTTTCCCATATACTTCAAGAAACTGCTCTCACTCTGCCTCGGCTCCTTGAGTGACAGTAACAGTACCAACTGCACGTCTGAAAGTGCAGGTAGCATTATGGTGTTTGGCAACGTACTTTCCTACCCATTTTGGTTCCTCAGACATTAGGCTGGCTCCGCTATCCAGCTGTTTCCTTAGCAAACATGCACAATTCCCTTCCTGTGCACATGAACACCCCCCAGTGTACATTAACTGAACACGTGTGCCCTCCACCACGGACATTAAGACAAGCACACCAAAAATAATCCAGCTGTTAAAAAAAAAAAAACAAACAAAAACAAACGAACAAAAAAACCACACAGACAAAAAAACCAACAAAAAAACAAACAAAAACAAACAAACAAAAAAACCAACAAAAAAAACCCAACCCAACCAAAAAGCACCCACCTGACTCCAGATTAAAAAAATAAAACTCTGGTGAAGGATTTTTTGCTAAAAGTACTTCACTTTTGCTTTTCGGGATTACTTCACTACACTAACAAAAAATCCCTCGTACCTTAAAACAAAAGCCAGTGAAAGCTCAGCCCCCACGAAGGAGAGCTGGAGCACAAACGCCCGCGCTACTTACGCAGCTGTACGACGGCGCTTTCTCCGTTCGTTGCGATGTAGTGCAGCGTTTGCTCTCCGTAGTAGGAAGCACCCGTTTTATCGACTTCTGTACTAGCTACTACCAGCACAGCAGTGGCTAACAGAACAGACACACGGTTATTCCAATGCAAGCATGGCAAATTACATAACTATTTCACAAACTCCCAGGAACAAAGATAAATTAGCTTGACTATGAATTCTAGTTAGTTGCTTGCACAGCAGCCTTGTTATTCTCTTCTGAATTTAGTTTTTCCTAAATATTAACCCAAACAGAGTATCTTCCTTTCTTTCTCAGATGAGAAGTGTAAGCTAAGTCTATTAATTCACCATTGAATTACAAGAAAACAAACATACTTTTGCAGCCATAAAAAAAAAAAATATATTCATCTGACTAAGGCAGAGACCAAGCGTCTTGATCAGTCCTTGAATAAAATGTTCCATCACCAGCTTTTGTACGTACATCAATTTTATCCAAAACTCTGCCCACAGATGGTATGTAATACCTCCCCTGTATTCCACACAACGCGGGTTGAGGTAGAAGTGGGTTTTTACAAAACTATTCTGAAACACCTCAGTGCTAACCAACAGCAAAGCACAGAGAGGACTGTGCAAGGCATCCCAGTCACGATGCACCTGTGTAAACGCAATTTTACAGATTAAGAACAGTTTATGGTGTAATCTTATGTTTACAGTCCAAACATATCGTCATCACAGAATGCAAAGTTAAATTTGAATTTGCTATTCAACTGCAAAATTTACCGACAGCTAAAATATTCTCAATTACAATATACAAAATCGTGGAAGTCACACAGAAAAGTTATAAGCACGTCAGGGGATTCAGAATTGCAACCTTAACATTGCCCTGGCATTAATGGCTACCTTCAGCACCCATCTGCCCAGGCAAATTAAAAGCAAAACCCACACAGTGGGCAAAGCGATCAAATCCAAGATGAGGAGAATGCAAAAGTTTAAACATACAGCTGCTGTACCTTTTTTGTTCCACAGCATCGTCACCTTGTCAGCTTTAAAGAAACTTTTATTGGCGAGTGCAGACTGAGGGCCCCCAAAGTTGGGATACTGATAGAGTCTCACAAAGGATGGTGCACCTTTACTGCCCGGAACGTACACAGCCACCTGCAACAAAGCCATGGGATTTTATTGCAGGCGATATCCTCGGCTGCACAGAGCCTATTCAGGACTAGGATGCTGTACTAAAATCATGGGAATTTTTTGAAGGAAACCAAGAAAAAAAATTAGAAACGACAGCAGAAATACCTTGGTTGGCGGTGCTCCTGGAGATAACACAAAATCATTAACCTTTTGCAAATGCAGTTTATTTGCAATAGTATCTGGAAAAAAAAAAGGTCATAGATGTGATGATGTTAATGACAAATCACATGCAGCCTGGAGTACTTAACTACACCTTTTTACGCGTCTGTCTCATGGATAACAAAGAACAGCATCTATAATGCTAAAGGATTTCTTTTACCAGGCAAACCACCACTGCTTTTCTATTTCATCACACGTTTTTATCTACAAAACCAGCTTGAACCAAGCCTAGGTCTGAAATCCAGCATTTAGTATTTGGAAGTTCAAACAGCAGGAAGCTTCTGAACCCCACATCAACACAGCTGGTTTGTGAAGCAAGCGACAGTGCTCTTCGTCTTATCTGCGCCGACTTCAGAGGACACGGCATCAGCCACATCCAGAAAGCAAGCACCATCTCACAGGGCCAGGGCTTGGCCCCTCACACCTGTACGGGATGATTCCTCCTGACAGGAAGCGTTCATACAGACCTGTTCTGTGCTGAACAGTGCCCCATAACGCAAGCAACTTACAGGAAGCACGTCTTTAAAAAGCCAACAGCAGCAACCCATCCCCTTATTCCAGCACGGAAGTCTGCGCTGAGCCGCGGACCTCATGCTGGAACAGACGTTCCATGCTTCCCGAGTACCGCTCCCTTAACGCGGCAGGGCGAATTCTCAGGAAACTGCATCTCACAGGCTGGGTTTTAGCTCTCAGAATAACTCATGTATCAACTTCATACTTAAAGCCAAACAAAAAACCCACCGAAAGCACACACCACTGTTCTCCCCCCAGCAGTTTCACAGAATGGTTTGGGTTGGAAGGGACCTCTGAGACCATCCAGTTCCAGCCCCCCTGCCATGGGCAGGGACACCCTCCACTGCACCAGGTTGCTCAAAGCCTCATCCAACCCGGCCTTGAACACTGCCAGGGATGGGGCAGCCACAGCTTCTCTGGGCAACCCGTTCCAGTAAATGGTTCCAGTTTTCTTTTATTCCTCTGAATTTTTCTTCTAATTCATTTTTATCTTCCTGCTTTTTTCTTCCCTCTGTTGACTCCAAATAATCTACCACTAGGAGTACATTTCCTTGAAAAAAATGCTCTAGCTTCACAACTTCATTTCTGCCATCAATATCAGTTTTCTAATGAGACATTTTTTAACATCTGGCTTACTGACAGAATACACGCAACCCAAAGACGCAATCCTATCTCATGTTCTCCACTGACAATTTCCTGAATCTCATTAAATGAGAAAAAATACAGCATTAGGCCTCTTTAACTGAAAATCAGACACATTTCTTACCAGGTAAGTCACTGAAAAGAAATACAAGGAAGTGAAAACACACTTCATTAAAACATAATTTTTCTGAATTACAAATTCAAATATAATGTAGACAATATTTAACATAAAAAGCAAGCAAAAGAAGAAATGAGGAAAGAACTGAAAACGCAAAGCCCACCCCAAGGAAGATGCCTATATAGAGGGCAATTAAACGTATGGAAATACTTGCGTACTGAAGTTGTTGTTTTCAAAGAAGTGCACCTCGTTGTTCACGTTCCTGGCACAAATGCTTTCATCATCCGCCCAGCAGGGACACCTACACACAAAGCAGAAACTCAGCAACACTCCACGGTGCTCATCTTGAGCAGTCCAAGGTTTTTGTCCTCCATTTCTAAAGCCAAGCAAGTTCGAACGTGATACACATTTCAAATGGACAAGTGACACTTGCACAGCAAAAAATACACAACTAGACTCAGTCATTTTCTCCCCAGCTTTCTCCGTGGTGCAGACTGATAGCGAATTTACACTAAGAAACAAGCAATTGTAACTACCTACAAAGATACTCACAAGCACAGATTCTTGCTTTCGGCTCGTAGCGGGCAGTATTTTGAAAGCCAACACTACACTGAAAGCTCTCTTTGCCTGGGTCAGATTTTGGAAACCACATTTCTTTGCAAACAATTAGCATCTGGAAATGTTATTTACCAGTTCTGCATCTTTTTCTGTATGAAAGATTTTAAGCATTTCCCAGTTTTCACATCATGAAGTTGTAGGTTGGGCACCCCTGCTGTGCCATCTTTAGCAGCTGCAACAAAAACACGGATTAGAGTAGTGGTCTCTGGGGATTCAATCCGTTCATCACAATGACATTCCCTCTCATGCAGAAACCTCTTACAGGAAGCATCCCACCCCCGAGGGACTAAATCCTACTGCTAGTTGCTTTACCTATTAACATCAGTCTTCCAGTCTATGGAAAGCACTAACACTTAGAAGCATAGGGTTTCTACTCCCATTACAAGACTGGGACCACTAACACTAAGACAGCTTTTTTAATGTGTGGTTTTTTAATCAAAATCAAAAGCTGTCCTCTTTGCAAACAAAGAAGGTGTGCTCTCCATTCCTACATTTTGTTCTCACGAGAAAGCAATGCATTTTGTCCATCACGCCGCAGTCACAGCTTTAGCTGCAAGCGGTACAAAACAGTTCTACTGGTTTTAAACTCTCCATATCCCCTCACTTACTCTGGATACTAGCGCCTGCCTATTTCTCCCAACCGTCCAGAGCAGACTCCTAACGGCTGGCATCAGTTCCACCACTTGTGCTGCCTTGCCTTACCCTACGACCTGTCCCAGACCACCTCCCACACACCCAGCTCATGGCGAGCTCTTCCCAGCGAAGGGAGCACTCACACCGTCTGCTTCAGACACGCAACCTGGATGAGACTAAGGCTATCTAAGCCAGGGCTGCCTTGCCTTACCCTACGACCTGTCCCAGGCCACCTCCCACACACCCAGCTCATGGCCAGCTCTTCCCAGCGAAGGGAGCACTCACACCATCTGCTTCAGACACGCAACCTGGATGAGACTGAGGCTATCTAAGCCAGAAACAAACTCCATGGGGAGGCAGAGGAGAGACTAGAGCCCTCTGGACAATGGAGAACGCCCACGTCAGCTATGCCCAGTGGAGAACATGACTACTCTGGGACAGCTTTCAACTCTCCTCAGCTATACACAAACACAAACTGCTCAAACAGCACATTATTCAAACACACTCTCTGCACCAAGATCAGTCAGCAATTTTCAGAAACATGCCATTCACTTACTGGAGTAATTGCTACTACAGGCACTCAGCGCTCGTAGGAGCGGCCGACACCAGATGCTTTCAGAAGACGTGTCCCTCCCTCCCCCACTGCATACCTCATCACCCAGATCATCTCTGTGCTCATTCAGCCACTAAACACGCTGCAACGACAAGTCAGGCAGCGGAACTCCTGCAAACCCAGTTAAAACACACGGTTACAGCTGGCAAACACTCACTTGTATAAGCCTGCCAGGTTGCCAGGATGTTATTCTTCGGTGAGAATTCGAGGCAAACCGCCTTCGGAAGGTCGAAGGAACGCAGCGACTCAGCACTGCTGACATTAACAATATTCACTCTGGAACCAAAAGATGCTATTTCAATAGAACAGCCTTAAAATAGTTCATTAACAGCCAAAAATAGTTAGTTAATTCATGGCCAAAACCAGTTAATTAACATCCAAGGTGACTTTTCATGTATTTAATTCTTCTAAACCTGTACCGAATTTGGCCAATGTGACAAAATTAGAAGAGGTTTTTTCCCCTCCTGCTTTTACAAGGACACGTTTCAAAGCCAGATGCCCAAGCGTAGCAGAAACTGAGTGAAAGCACTGGTCAAAACATAGAACAAATTGTTATCTGCAACATTTAAACTCCGAACTCTGTCCGTAGAGAGTCCATCCACACTTCACAGCATCATTGTTCAAGTTTACTGAGTATAAAGTGAATGACTGATATCCAAAAAGGTACCAACCTTTCCCCATTGCACCAGGCAAAGAGGGAACCGTCCTTGCTGAAAGCAACGGCTTTGCAATTTTTTCCACAGTCCCTAAAGAAATAAGAAACGCCCATCAGCATCCAAACACGCTGCACAAGTTAAGGTGTTTGTAACAAAAACGAAAGCACCAGACCAGTTTTGCTGCCGCGCTCCCCAGCGGTGCTTTGTGACGGTGCCGCCGCCCCGCAGCGGGTCAGCCAAGCACGAGCCCTAAAACACCAACGTTCTGAACCACGGGCAGCGAGAGCAAACTCCCTTATGTTTGCACTTTTCAACTCCAGGGTCTGCTTTTCAGAGAACCGCTTCCTTTGCGCGAAAGTTCAGAGCCAGTGATGACACCGGTACCTTCGAAACGCTGTGCTCTCCGTGAAGCTGGGCGGCCCGTTCACCATGTACAGACCTTCGGATCCTCTCACTGCAAGAGCAAACAAACGCCCGCTCGTTCCAAACCCGGAAAACCGTGCAAAGCCAAAGCCTTTTCTAACCCATGACACCTGCCCACGCTTTTCCCCTGCTCGAACGAGAGCGAGCGTTGTAACGGAAATCCGGGATGCACCACGCGCCAAGGCACCTGGCTTCGCCCACGGCAGCGGCAGGACAAACTCGGGAGAGAGGCAGCGACGGGGCAGAGCTGTGCCATGCCACCGGCCGCAGCACCAGAGCCTG